TGTTTACTCCATACATAGTGGGGAGCGGCGGCGTAGCGGTCAGCGCACTGCGCTACGAACCCGGCGACCCAAGTTCGATTCCCGTTCACGGCCAACACTGGTGACGATTTCCTGAACCGGTCCTGGGCATCCCCTAGGTCGACTCAGCCTCAAATGAGTACCTGGTGCGGTGTGGAAATATCGCCACTGGGGAGACAAAGGCGGCCGGGCGTGGTTTTGGCCACCCACCCCCTCGTGTGCCGTGCCAGCCATTCATAGGTGCTCGCTAACAGCACTTGCTCCCACAGTCTGTTCAGGGTGCACGGGGGATCTCTGTCTTTGTTTACTGTTTATAGCGTGGCAAGTTGTGGCACTGTGGTTAGCACACTGTGCTGCACGTACCACATCCCGAGTTCAATTCACAGCCACGGCAAGCGGTTAACCAGCGGTAACCTGCCCTTGACCTCGCGTTAGGATGCATTGGAAGAGGTGGGGGTACCCACTCTTTACCCCACCCGCCAATCGACTCACTGTGGTGACCCCCCCTTCCCCCCGTCAATATTGCTGGGCGGATAGAGAAGGTCGGGGGGGGGGTGGATTGTTAGAAAAGCGTTTGAAGTGCCGCGCCGGGACAACGGGACCGATTGGTTAAGGTTGGTGACTAAACTAAACTCTCTTTTTATTTTACCAGGTAAGGCCGAATGAACTACGGTAAATAGCTCTGATTTTCAGAAGCCACCTGACTACCACAAACGATAGCTCCAAGGAAAGTGGCTTATCACGTGGAACTTATAGCAGCCAAATACTCTAAACACCCGTTCATTCTAAATGTGGAGGGACATGTCGGAGGACCTGGAGAAAAATCCCCGTGACCACAGGGAGAATACGCAAACTCCAAATAGACAGCAGGTGTCCGGGTCGGGATCGAACCCACGACCTCCTGCATATCAGGCGAGGTAGTTAACATCTCGCCATAGCGGCACCCACGGAGTGTCATCTACTGTGGAGATGGAGCGATGAAATCGGTTCAGGCGCTGGGTGGATTGTTACAGCGCAGGATCACGAGAAGTGGCCGTGGCTTGGGGGAGGCATTCATCCGGCAGTGGATGAATGCCTCATAGTTGTTGTTGTTATTCTTCTTAAGCTGTGCGGCCACATAGTTTAGTCTAAAGCCACTTAGGCTGCTGCATGCTGGGTCGGGTGTTGCGGCCTGGGCCAGGCCAGGCCGGGCTGGGCCGCCGTGGGGGGGGGGGGCCGGCCAGGGGAGGCCGAGCGACGTCGGGCAGCAGGAATGGTTCACGGCCGCGACCGCCCCCCCCCCCCTCTTCCCCGGTTGTCCCGGCAACGCTCCCGGGTTCTCGGGTCCCCAACCGGCATCGCTCATTTTGGCCGTAACGCGACGTGATGGCGGCGCCGGTGTCTGCAGGCTTGAAAGTTTAACGTTCGGGTAGCCGGGCGAGTTGGCAGTGGCGCGTGGGCCACTTAATCCGCTTGGTGCAGCGTGGGCTGTCGAGTTCCCATTACCGCTGCCCAGCAATCCGAGCGGCATTCTTTCCGAACGCCGCTCGGTCACTTTCTCTCTCTCTGCCAAGTTGGGCAACTCGACCACCGTCGTTTCCCCCCTCTGCCCAGCACGAAACTTTTCCATGCTCTTTTTCCTCGCCTAAAAAGACATTCGAATGTTCTCGTCCCCGAGCTGCATCGATGCACGTGTCCTCCGTGCGTGTACCTCTTCCTGAGAAATACGGTTGCGTTTAGACACTTTATGAACGTCGCACAATGACCCCTTACAATTTTGATTTCGAATAGAGTCTAAATGCCATCGCGTCTCCAAGATGCTACATGGAGCAGTGGGACACGTGGGCTTCCAGGATTAAGGAGGCATGGTCCAAAGTTTCCAAATTTGATTGATGGCCTACAAATTCCTCCATTGGGATTACGCACGGGGACATCGTAACATCGTCCCCCCTCCTGTAAAACTACGGCCGACCGTATCCTTGAAGCACAGCGCCTTCGTTCGTGACAGCCTTGTGCTACAGGAACGGGGCGAACACGAAATCGACTCCGTTATTATCGTTGTTATACACTCGTCCAGTTTCCTTTTTAAGGTGTGTCCGGATGTTGTGGCACGAGCCAATCTGGGGCATACCGAGACAACGCTCCGTAAAATAGTTGCTGGGTCGGCGTGGCCCGTGTCGAAAAAAAAGTGCGGATTCAAACCGATCTGGAATACGCGCACGGAGCATTGAGCAGCATCAGCAGCATCAGCAGCATCAGCAGCATCAGCAGCATCATCAGCATGTATACACAGAGCCCTCCGGCGTGCGTGCGCGCGCGCTTGGCTCGTGCGTCCGTTCAGGGAAATGACATTCTGGCAAGTGGGGGGGGGGGGGGGCCCTCTTGTCGTGGTGAACGCGTGGGGGACCTCTTGTCGTGGTGAACGCGTGGGGGCCCTCGCTGGTGAACGCGTGGGGGCCCTCTTGTCGTGGTGAACGCGTGGGGCCCTCTTGTCGTGGTGAACGCGTGGGGACCTCTTGTCGTGGTGAACGCGTGGGTGCCCTCGCTGTCGTACGCGAGTGGCCGTGAGGAATAGCGACACAACTCCTTACAACCGAAACCTGTGACCTCATCTAAATTTGTTCGACTAAAATATATAATTTATAAGGCACCCTTTAGATCTCAGAGCACCATGTGAATATTTAGAATATAAAAAATCTTGAATAAGAGTCTTATTTGGAAAAAATTCTACCCTGGTTGTGCTGTTGGTGTGTGATGTTACAAGAATATGGATTTCCATCTAGAACTCCTCGCACTCAGCGGTGAAAGATGACGTCATATAGCTACTTCTGAGCTCGCTTCGATTTCCCGCCGTCCGCACTTGCACCAACCTTCCGTCAGACCGACGCCAAACTAGAATTAGAATTAAAGCAGCATCGTGAGCTGAAAAGTACGCGTTTACGATTGTAAACGAGCCCAGGTTATCCGTCAGTTGACGTGTGCGTCACTTAGCAGTCGAGCCTCGAAATTCGTAATCTCAGAGATGGAAATTTTCCGAAGCAAGTGAAAACCCGACTCCAATGTGGTGATAGTTTCTGTGCAGCCATCGACAATGCCCAAAGGCGCCTTCTTGGCATGCGATGGTTCGACTTCGCCAGAAATGTCACCGTTGCATCTGCGACGGGTCTGCGAGCGATCGAGAGCTCGAGGGAGACGGCTGTCACTTTGTGGACACGTCACCCTGTCTTGATGCGCAAACTCCAGCACTTTGCGCACTTGAGTTGGCGGTCGAGGTTAGAAGTGGAACTGCGGCTCTCAACGGAATAGCGCCGCCACATGGTCGCCCCCCCCCCCCCCCCCCCCCCCCCATGATCCGTGGATCAAACAAATCACTGGAGACGCCGGTGTACGGCATCAAGAGCAGTTTTTTGGAATGCTGTCACAAGAGGTCGCACGTTTGACACAGCGGTCCCTCGCTAAGCATGACGAGCGGACAAATGACCCCACCGGCTCTGGGGCTGGGAGGGGAGTATCGGCTCGCGTCAGCACGGGTCTCGGCCGTGACCCCGGCGCGAACCCGGGGTAACTCGGCCGCGACCCCGTCGCGAACCCGGGGTAACTCGGCCGTGCCGGCACCGTGTTGTGGTCAGGATTCCTCCCGAGTCGCCCACCCACATCCCGGTTCACCGTTGCGGGCAGGAGGAGCGAGCACTCGCGGAAGCCGTCCAACACCCTACGATGCCCGTCTAACATCACAGCGAGAAGTGGCGTCGCTTGTGCCAAGTGATTTGCCCTCTTGCCTCTCGCGTGATGAGATAACAGAGATGTGCTTTTCACTTTGGCTCTCTTTCTCAGGGCCTTGAATTGTTTGGCTCCGTAGACGTGTGAACTCCACCACTGGTTGTATGATCGGTCTCTTATCGCACGTTGATGGCCGTACATCTCGGTGATTCACTCAATCATCGACTTCCTCTGTTGCTGCTTTCATAGCTCCCATTGCTTGTTGTGATGCCTTCGATGTGTTGTGTTTTCCGATGTTTCGTCTTTCCCGTAGTCGTTACGAGCAGCGGTGAATAGACTCTCGCACAGCATCGCTGGGGTGGTCACGGCGGGGGGGGGGGGGGGGTTACTGCACTCAGTATAACAACCATGGAGAAGTCGAGAGGTTCGAGTGAGATTGTTGTTAACTATTACTAACTATAACTAACTATTACTAACAATTACTAACGATTACTAACGATAGCCACCACTACTACTAGTAGCGTGCTTGTTTCGCCAGGAAAGCCTCTCGGAGTGTCGTGATTCCTTCGGGTCCTGAGAGAGGCGGGCAGTGAATTCCACACACGGGCCAACTGAGTGCCCCGTGAGTCATTTTATTAAAAAAAATTTGGAACCAAGACGTCGGCACGCAACGAACGGCCTCCTCTTGCGAATTACGTCACAAAATCTTTTAATAATTTTTTTACTCCATTACAGAGCACCAACCGCGACATAGGGAGTGGGGGGGGGGGCTACAGAAACTCCTCGGGGAGAAGTCCCGGACGCAGAGGCTCGGCTCGCTGCAGCCCCACTGAGCGGGGATTGCGAGCGGGGTTTTGTAGTCCCATGGAGGCGGGGGGGGGGGGCACAGGAGGCGGGGGGGTGCCACAGGAGGGAGCTGCAGCCGAGTGCACTTGGCAGAGAACTTTGCAGCAGTGTCATGATGATGACGATTGAAGTAAAAACAATGATGACGGCGTTCCCGCTGATCTTCAATAACATGATGATGGTGCTGCTGATGGTGCTGTTACTGATGATGGTGCTGCTGATGATGATGGTGCTGCTGATGATGATGGTGCTGCTGATGATGATGGTGCTGCTGCTGATGGTGCTGCTGATGGTGCTGTTACTGATGATGGTGCTGGTGCTGGTGCTGATGATGATGGTGATGATGATGATGCTGCTGATGATGATGGTGCTGCTGATGATGATGGTGCTGCTGATCATGATGGTGCTGATGATGACCGTGGCCCCGCCCCCGGCAGCGCGTGTTGGCGTGCGCGCTCTACGACAACGAGGCGGAGTCTCCCGACGAGCTGCACTTCCGGAAGGGCGACGTGCTGGAGGTGGTGGCGCGCGACGGCGCCGCCCTGCCCGGCTGGTGGCTCTGCTCGCTGCACGGCCACCGGGGACTCGTGCCGGCCAACCGCCTCGCCCTGCTGGCCCCGTCCTGCGGCGGCTCGTCCCCGCCCGGCCCGAGCTTCCCCGCGTCCGCCGCCATCGCGGCGCCCTGCGCGTCGTCGCCGTCGCGCTCGTCGCCGTCGCGCTCGCCGCGCTCGCCATGCGGTTGTCTCGGCGCCGGCCCCGCGCCGGTCCGGGGCTCGGGCCTCGGGGCCCGGGGCAACAACTCCCCGAGCCCGCGGCCGCACGGCGACGCCGGCCTGGGGACGCCCGCCGCGTGGAACGACGGCGCCGGCTTCGCTCGCCTCGCCGGGAAGGTACGCCGTGTGCCGGGGGACGACGCCGCTCGACAGACGGGGGAGCCGCGGAAGCGACGGTGCGAGCTGCGATGCGAACTCGGCGTCCGGTCGTTGTCGTCCGCCGCTGTTGTTGGCTGCGGACGAGCGTGCCGGCCCACCGCGCCGGTTGGGTCGGCGGGAGAGAGCGAGAGCCCCCCCCCCCCCCCCCCCCGTACCACGGACGCCAAATGCCAAAGTAGCTTTCGGGGCGACGTGTCCGCACAGAGGTCATGCGCAACGATCCGGCCAGGTCGGTAGTAATAATAATAACTGGTAACGCGCACGGAGAGAGAGCGAGAGAGCGAGAGAGCGAGAGAGCGAGAGATGACGACTCGAGGCACGCCGGGGGGAGGAACTCCGGACAAGCGGGAACGGCAACCGCGATGCAGTGAGGAGTCGGTGCGGCCAACAAATAATTGCCCAAGCTCTGCGGTCCTCTATTAAAGTGTCATCGGCCAGTTAATGAGTGTTTACGTGGTCTTCTAGTGGTGGTGCTGGTGGCAATGATGATGACAAGTGGATTCAGTGGTGCTGTTAATGTTAACGGAGGCGGTGATGGCGGTGATGGCGGTGATGGCGGTGATGGCGGTGATGGCGGTGATGGCGGTGATGGCGGTGATGGTGATGTCTCTGTTTCCCCTCTACAGCACTCGCACTATGAGGTGCCCCCAGGCGCCGTGCGAGCGCAGAGCCTCGCCTCGTCACACATGTACGACGTCGCCTCGTCACGCATGTATGACGTCCCCTCGTCAGCGCTGCACTGGACGCACCACTGCCCTGCCGAGAGTGTGAGTGGAAGGCATCAGCACGCACCCGCACCGCACACTCGCTCACACTCGCGCTGCACACACTCCCTCACACTCACTCTTCTCGCACACAAACACTCACTCCTCAAACTCGCTCACACTCCTTCACTCACACTCACTCACTCTCACTCACACTCACTCACACTCACTCTGCACACACTCCCTCACACTCACTCTGCACATTCGCTTGTGCCTCGGCCGTGCAATATCCGACCGCAGGTTGGCTGCAATCCCGCGGCCTCTCTGAGCGGCAGTACCGAGGTCCCTCTCCCCCCACTCCCTCCTGTCCCTCTCCCCCCGCTCCCTCCGTCCCAGGACTACGACGTGCCCAAGTCCGCGAGGACGGCGGCGTGCGGCGACCGCGCCGAGTACGACGTCCCCAAGCCCGCCGCGGCCGTGGCGGCGATGATGGCGGCGGCAGGGAACCACGGCGGCGCCGGCGGCTGCTGCTGCCGGCCGGACGCCGACTACGACGTCCCCGTGCCGAGCCGCTGGCCCGACGGGGCGGCGCGCGTGGCCGCGGCGGGGACGTGCGCCGCCGCCGCCTCCGTGCCGCTTCTCCGGCGGGCTCTACGACAGCCCCAGGGCCGGGCGACGGTGCCCCGGCGCGGGCGGCTTCGAGAACGGGCACGGCGCGGGCGGCGGTGGCGGCAGGGCGGCTGCGGGCTACGTGTACGACATTCCGCCCCAGGTACGATCACGATGAAGATGCTGCTGCTGCTGGTGTGGGTCTCCTCCGGTTCCTCCGGTTTCTTCCTCCAAAAGCAAAAAACCAGCCACGTCCCGGTGTGACCGCTGTTGGCTCAACCCCACATCCCAATGCTGGACAATTTCTTGCAAATGTACTCGATTGAGCCACAGTAACATCGCCCCCACCCCCACTCCCTCACTGTGGAAGCTTGGCAGGACCCTCCCCACAAAGAGTCTGGAGACCCGGTGGGGCTTTCCTGGGTAAACGAGCAGCATAATAATGGTTATAACACAATTGCTTTTCTTGCTAAGACACAGCCTGGCACACTTGCTCAGCCGTACGGACTCTGTGCTGCAGCGTTATTGTCAAGGATCCCGCACCTCCGATTTTAACACGCGTTGGATACGTACGGTGCGAAAGAAGTTCAACTTGTGTACAACACGCAAGCCAAATGTTTCTTTAGCTCGCGAGCGCCGGTGGCGCGGGTACAACCACAGCGGGCACGCCAGCGACGCTCCGTCTACAGCGGCACGCCCGCGTGGTACGTCGCTGCGATGGCTGGGGTGGTGTTGGGACAGGACGAGGAATGTGGGGGGGGGGGGGGGAGGCGTTGTTGTGGATTTAAAGTTGGGGGCCATTTATAAAGGAATGCAAAGCGATTCCTTTATAAAGCACGGTGCGAGTGAGTGAAGGAAGGAACGCGTGTCTGAAAGAAGTTTCCAGTGCTTTTATCCGCGACATTCGACGTCTCCAAGTGTTGATGTTTAACTATCGGCTGCGGGTTTTGTGTGCCTAATGTTTATGTTGTGTGTTTTGTCACGGAGACTTGTTTTTTTTAATACAGAAAAAAACTCTTTGTGGGCTCTAAAATTAAGGACCGAACTGCTGACCTTCATCATCATCAGCCACGATCCATCCACTGCTGGTTGAAGGCCTCCCTAACCCATCACCAACGCCAGGGTTGCATTAACGCCATGTTTTGAGGTCTGGTGGCATTGCATCACTTGGCCACAGTTGTGAAATGTTCCAGAGGGAAGGAAGCGATGACCACGTGCGGCGGCGTCGCCATCTGCGGCCACCGCGATGACGGTCTGCCCCTCTGACCACGTCGCAGGTGAGCAGAGACGGCCCGGCACGTGACCGCTTCCCCTGCACGGAAATCTCTCGGCTCTCTCTCCCGGTCGCCACCACCACCGCCACCAGCGCGATCGGCACCACCGCCAGCCCCACGATCACCGCAAGTTCGGGCCGCGACTCTGGCCTCGGCTCGTCTTCCTCATCCCCGGCAGCCACCTCCTCATCCTCGTCATCCTCCTCGTCGTCGTCCTCGTCGTCGCCCCCCTATCCCCACTCCGCCGAGGGTCCGCTGGGCGCGCTCTCGCGTCTCTGCGAGTCCGTGGAGAGCGCCGTGACACCGCTGGCAGGCGGCGAGATGGCGGGTTCCCCCGACGCGGTGCGCATGGCCGCCAGCTGCCTGCGGGAGTTCGTCGACTTCGCTCGCGGGGCCTGCGGCGGCGGCGGCGGCACCGGTGCCGCGGAGCTGCGGGCTCTGCTCCGGGGTCTGGACGACTCGTGCGTGTCGCTCGAGCGAGCCGGTCGCGTCATGCTGGCGGCGAGGGCCTCGCACGGCCGCCCACGAGCGGGCGACGCCGACTCCGGCGGCGGCGGCAGCGGCGCCGCCGGGGAGGAGCGGATCGCGGAGACGGCGCGCGCCGTGCTGGACGCCGTGCACCGCACCCTGCGGCTCGCGGCGGCCGAGCCGCGGGCCCGGGCGGACGCGGGGCCCACCTCGCCGCGCCGCAGGGAGGTGCCGCCGCTCACGTGCGTGGCGCCAACCGTGGTGCCCGCCGTGGCGCCGAGCGCCGGCAGCGACTGCAACTATGCGCAGCTGCAGGTGAGCAGTCACTCTTGCTCGTCCTGGTCTCTCGAGTCCTCGGCCGGGTCCAACAAAATAAATGTGGCTGGATTAGGGGCGGCTCGGCACGTGGCACAGGTGGAAAAATGGAAAAGAAATGTCAACGGTGCCCTTGACCTCCTGGGTTCTCTCCTGAATGTGCTCGATTCGTCGCGTTGTGAGAATTATTCTTCTTCGCCGTGAGACGATAACAATTGTCGCGTTGTCAAACACTCGTACACCGTGCCACTGTTCAATTTGTCGAGTGGTGGAGGGTCTCACAACACAAATTTGGTCAGATTATTATTTACATGGCCTGAACACTACTGTATAGCTCTTTTCAGTGTGACCTGGCCACAAATGATAGCTCAACGAAGTGGCTTATAACGTGGCATTTTATAGTAGTCATATACTCTAAACGCAAGTTTCTAAATTTAGAGGGAAAAACTGGAGGACCCGGAGAAAAATCCACAGGGAGTACATGCAAACTCCAAATCTACAGCAGCAGCAGCAGGCGTCAGGGTCAGGATGGAACCCACGACCTCCTGCATACCAGGCGAGGTAGTTGGCATCTCACCACCATGGTGCCCCTTGTCATCCTCAGCCGCAGTCAATCCACTGCTTCATGAGGACATCCCCAGGTCACTGTCGTCTCCCCATAACTTTACGAGATTCAATAATAATACTCCACCTAGCACCTGCACACAAGCTGATTTCGCCATTTTAGGCGTGCGTAAGGCCCACTGAGCTATGTAGCTCTTTTTCCGAAGCGTAGAAATTTATTGCAGCCAAATACTCCAAACGCATATTTCTAAATGTGGTGGGAAAAACTGGAGGACCTGTAAAAAATTCCACACAACCACGGGGAGAGAGAGACACGCAAACTGCAAATATACAGCAGGCGTCAGGGTCGGGATTGAACCCACCTCTTCCTCCTCCATACCAGGCGAGGTTGTTAACACCTCGGCACCTCGGCAAGGCAGCGCCCTACTGCGGTGCATCAGGAGCAGTGGAGCTCCTGATTACGAGAGTGGGAGGAGACGCCGTTGTCTCTGCTGTAGCGACGCAGAATGTCGGTGGAATGTCGGTGGCCGGTCCGGGGTTGTCAGCACAGGCACAGCGGTGGTCGCGATCGCCACAGGGGGTCGCGGTGGCGTGGGTCGCACTCCGTGCACGGACTGTGACGCTCCATCCCGGGCAGCTGAGTGAGGGTTAGAGGTCTATTCCCTCACCGCCGCTGAGCCCGTGTGCACGCTCAACGTTCCCTGGAACGTGGCTCGTAAGGTGCCGCCCGAGTCCTGGCACGAGTGGGGAAAATGATGAAGCGGTGTCCGTTCGGAGGAAAACCACGACTTCCATTTGAAATCACGTTCCGAATTTTTATGAGTTCTCTCCCCTATTTAAATTACGAATAATGCGTGAGGCAAATTGAACAAGCGGAGAATTCGCCTCCTTTTCACGTCTGTCCCTCCACATGAAGAAACCATTTATTTTCTACGAATCCCATCAGCCGCACGGCCGTCTGATGCAACCGGAGCACACTCTGGACCGGTTTTGACATTCGGTGTCAAGTGCCAGAGATTCCTAAGCCAGGACCTTCTCTGTTTGATACAACACAACATGTAGATAACAATCGCACTGCTTGTACAGTACAAGCTTGTCAACTCGGATGCTGCGCCGAGTTCCGGGCGGTTTGTGTGTTCTGGCTTCCCCCTCGCGCATGCAAAAGCACCAATCAGGAACTCGTCGGAGCATATGCCCGGAGAATCCCTTGCGTGGCAAGAGGAGATAACGATCTGCAGCACAGGCAGCGTGTCGGGTGGTGATCCCCTCCGTCTCTGGCCCTAAGCCTTCGTTGTAAATTCCACATTTCTGTGGCACGGTGGCGGATCTCGCTTCGCGTTGACCGCCGTGTTAACGTCAGAGGGCGGAAGGGCTGACTCTGCCAGTTCTGCCCGAATAGCCGGCCGCAAAGCTACCCGCTGTACCGCAGCCTCGTGCATCGCATCGTCCCGCATCGTCCTGCAGGAAGGCAGGACGATGCGTGCGTGCATCGCGCACGCACGGTTCGTCTCGCGGGGGCTTCTCCGGTCCGCACGTTGCCGCCCCGTCGTGACCAGGTGACGCCGGCTCACCCATGGCTGGGGCGTGCGGGGGCCCGTGTGTCGTGCCGCAGGGCCAGGCCGACTTGGAGAAGCCGTGGCTACTGCGGCGGCAGGAGGAGGAGGAGAAGGGCGGGTGGAGTCCATACGAGGCCTCCACTTCTCCCTCCGTGACAGATCAGGTACTGCGGGCCCGCCGCTCCGCTCCCAGCGCGCGGCAACCATGACGTGTGGGGAGCCTTCCGCATACGCACGGCGAGGATCCTCATTCCACTAACCAGCGGGCGACCGCGGGGTTCAAGCCCGGGGACTCTCCCCACGGAGGATCTGTTCACCTGCAGACCACGCACCCCTGCAATGTCGAAATCAGCTCGTGTGCAGATGCTAGGTAGAGGGTTATAATTAAATATCGCATGGTGGTGGGAAGATGGCCGTGGCCTGGTGAGGCCCTCATAAAGCAGTGGATTGACCGTGGCTGAGGACGGCAAGGGGCACCACGGTGGCTAGATGCTAACTACCTCGCCTGGTACACAGGAGGTCGTGGGTTCGATCTCAACCCTGACGCCTGCTGTATATTTGCAGTTTGAATGTTCTCCCCGTGGATTTTTTTTCTCCGGGTCCTCCGGTTTTTCGCCCAACATTTAGAATCCACGTGCGTTTGGAGTATTTGGATGCTATAAATTTCCACATGTCCAGCCATTTCGTTGAGCTATCATTTGTGGCCAGGTCTCTTCTGAAAAACAGCTACATAGCTCAGTGGGCCTTACCTGGTAAAGTAAAAAATAGTTTTAATGCCACACATTTTGTCATTTTTATTTCATATTTCTTCCCACCAATTGTTTGTTACTCGTGCCGTATCCCATAATTCCAATGTGCAACTAGATGCCTATTGTCCACTCTTCCTGTTAATCAAACCCTCAAATGGTTCCATGGAAAACAACGGCATCCAACCAGACACATGCCAGTGATTACATTCGGGAACATTGGTGCCGGTAACTTGCGCTCTCACTGGCAACGTCCAAAACCCAGAAGCAGTTCTGTGAAGTCATATTCTGGGATCCGTCTGTTGGCATGACGTGATTCCTCCGCTCACTCGAGGACACTAGCCGGCTCACTCCGTGACACCGGCTTGCACCCCTCCTCCCTCCGCTGCGTCCTCTCGGCACTGTTCATCTGCACCCCCGGTCCGCTCGGCGTCGTGTCTCTCGTCCATCGCCGTCTCGTTCTCCCTGGAGATCTCTGATAAGGTGTTGTGTTACTGTACATTGCTGGGTATAGCGTCATACAGTTTGCATTCCCAGCAATAGCCAAGGCCAGAGCTTCTAATCCAACGCCGAACGAGCCCCGAGTCGGTTGTCAGGCAGGCCTCGGATGACGAAATGTCTCGGTGGCAAAGAAAATAAAACGATTCGCTGCCCGATTTCACAAACACGAAGGAGGAGGCGCCATCACAGCGACGCTCCGCTGCTCCCGACGCAATCGTCTGGCTTGACCACCTCCACGTAACATTATTACAGTTGTTGCTCGACATCAACTTGAGCCGTACGAAGAAGACCGAACAAGAGTTGCAGCGTGCCCACCGCCGGTCTCGATGACAAATCGCCGAGCGGCGGTTTGTGCGCCACCGCTCCCACCTGGACGATAGCAACCGAAGAGGCACCGCCTCCTGCCGTGCGTGGCAGCGGTCTCCGCGGTCTGCCCTCTGCCCTGCTGTTGTTTGCGCACCGCGGTCGTCCTGGACCGGCATTGAACAAGCGGCTCTCTGGAACGTGACTTTACGTTGGGCGATCATTTGAGGCACCTGAGGTCTGACTGATATTTGTTTAAATCGGCAGTAAAATGTTTCCACTTGAGCGGTCCTTAATAAGTAACAGAGGTACACGGAAATGGAAATGAGTGTTTTCTACGCTGACAAAACCTGTGGTCTAACCAAACGTGACCGTTTTCCAACTGTGACCACCGTTCCGCCCTGTGGCAAGCCGGGGCAGGGCTGCTCCACGACACCCACGGGAAGGGAATTCAGCAGTTTGTGTCCAATCCACCGACCCTCGCTGCTGCTGCTGCTGCCGCCTCCACAGCTCTGGGGTGCGGGCCACGTCCAGCGTAGCAGCCACCGCAGGGCGTGCCTTTTGACGTGAGGCGTAGCGGCGGCGTTTCGCGGGGCTACACACCCCGCTGACGAGACTCAAAATAAGTCGCAGCCGGGTTGCCGTGAGTAACCCGGTGTCACGCCTTCGTTGCCGTTCGGCTGCCTAAATAAATTCTGTCAGAAATAAAAAATGTTGAACTTGAGCTACAACACGCCCAGACAAGCGGCTGCATGCATGCGCTCGCTTGCCGGTCGCAGTGTTGATGGCGACGGGGCTTGGGAAGAGTGCAGGGAATCGGAAACCTCCCCTCCTGCAGGTTTCCAATCGCTTGTGGCTTGAGAGCCCATTGCGGGAGGGCGGCAATTTTTCTGGCAAAGGCGGCCGCTGCTTACCTTCTAAGCAAGGGCGCCACGGTGGTGAGATGTTAACTACCTCCCTTGGTATATAGGAGCTCGTGGGTTCGATCCCAATCCCTGACGCCTGCTGTATATTTGGAGTCTGTGTGCTCTCCCCGTGGTCACGTGGATTGTTCTCCGCGTCAACATCACGCATTTAAATTATTTGGCTGCTATATATTTCCACGTGATAAGCCACTTCGTTGAGCTTTCATTTGTGGCCAGGTCACAACCAAAAAAAGCTCCGTAGCTCCATGTGCCTTCCCTGGTAAAATAAAAATTAGTTTTTAATAGTTAGTTTTTTGTCATCGGAATTCCGACCATGTGACGCTTGTTGTAACCCTCGAGCTCGCTGTGACCTGCAGATTGCCATAAATGCGTCTTTTCTTTGCGTTGGAGAAACGCTCGCTGGAAATACGTGAAACTGACCAGACCCGGCACGCTCGTCGCAAACCCCGCCGGGCACGAGGACCGCGTCGCAGCGTTCTGTGCCACCAGGCGTCCTCGCTCAGGGCAGAGGTCGAGCTGCTGCACCATGGCAGTGCGGTGCTTCGAAACAAACTGGGAAGGTTGAAATAAGCTTACGTGGACAGATTTTAATTTGCAGCTTTTAGATATCACACGAACAGGTACATGAAGTTATTCAAGTAAAACAATCACCTGTCCTTCATGCGAGACGTAGATATGGATCGCCAGTTGAATACCGGAGTGAAACGTGCACCGAACCATTCTGATCGTTTTAAACCGTCACCTCCTCTGTTGCAGGGTGCCGACATCAAGAAGCAGCAGCAGGAGGCACCGGAGCCGGCCAGCGCAAAGTCGGAGCTGGCGCGCTTCCTGTCGAAGCGCGGCCGCTGCGAGCTCGTGTCGGGCATGGCGAACGCGCTGGCGGCGCTGGCGGGGTGCGTGCGGCGCGGCCGCTGGGCGCCGCAGGAGCTGGTGACGCACAGCAAGGCGGCCGTCATCGCGGGCCACCGCCTCGCCTACGCCAGCGACGCCGTGGCCAGGGGCGGCGTCGAGCGCCCGCTCGCCCCCTTCGCGTCGTTCGGCGCCCCGCTGTGCGACGCGCTGCGCGACCTCGTGGAGGCGACGCGCGACGCCGCCACGGCCGGCGCGGGCGGCGTCGCCGGCGCGGGCGGCGTCGCCGGCGCGGGCGGCGTCGCCGGCGCGGCGCCATCGCCGCCGCCCCGGCTCGCGGTGGCGCGGCTCGAGCGCAGCCTCGTGCGGCTCTCCGAGCAGGTGCTGCTGTTCGAGAGCATGATGAGCGCGCTGGTGACGGCGTGAGGACGTGCGGCTCGCGCCCCGGGGGGGGTTAACGGGACGTTTGGTGTTTCTTGAATGTCGGGGAGACAAGTGGTGGGGGGGGGGGAAAAAACCCATCTCTGCTCGGTTGATAAAGTTGGTAAAACTTTGTGTGGACGGTCAACAGTTGTGGGAGAGATTGGACCCCCACCATGGGAATGGTGAATTTCCACCACCTGCTCGGGGCAACGAAGAGAGTTGAGTGCCCCCCCCCCCCCCCCCGCTGCGCCTCGATTGCTCGTCCCAGTAGTTTTGCATGGAATGTCGCTCGCGTGGTAGAGCAGTAGCGCGCCTAGTGGTGGGATTGTGCATTCACATCACAGCTCGAGTCGACGAAGCACCAGCACCAACACCCCTCTAGCATCACCACAAGCACCACCACCACTCTCAGTAAGCGTCATTCATCATCCCTCCGGTGTCATTGAGGTGAGCACCACCTACAAGAAAGTTAACAGTGGCTGTCTCGGAATGCAATGCTATGCCAGCCGGCCCTAAAGAGGAATATACCGGCACTGAAATCGGGTTGTATTTATTCGTCGGTGTAGCGGGATGTGAATTCGAATTCTGGCTATGGGTGTGCGACTCGGTCTAATTCTCTGGCGCCGGGTCACATCGTCGGAGATTAGTGGCTCGTTAGGGTCAGTTCAAGCGGACACTTTGAAAACCTGAGTCTCAAGACTCCTTGAGGAGGAGGGTCCTGCTTGGGGGTGTTTCTCCGCTCGTGGCGTGGACCCCCACGCCGTGGCTCCCGTCGCACAGTTGAGAGCCAATCGGTTATCGAGTCTAACGTGTGCAACGTTTGGTAAAACGTCGCGATGACATTTATTAACTTCTGTAGGGCGCATAAGAGTGCACCGTGGTTTCTCAAAACGCGACAGAGTAAATCACGCGACAGTGGATCAATTCTATAATTACAAGGTGATTCTCACGCTCGCGCTACTCGCACTGAATCGTGCGTGCAAGAATATGCAATTTATGCAAATCGCACGAAAATAATATATAATATGCAAGCGTCAACTCAAGACCAGCGGAGCGAGCGTGACAAGGTCGGGCCATTGACGGAGCTCCCGGTGGAGACGTCCCACCACTCGCTCGCTCAGCGCTCGCGTCAGCACTTCTTGCCGCAGCCGCCCATTGCGGTGCAGCAAACACGCCACAGAAATCTTCAGCCCGAACAAAACACGTCGCTGTTGTTAGTCTTTATACCTAGGCTGTGCGTCGCAGGCCATCTGTGGCAGGCTTGAAGCTTGTAGTCAATAGCAAGGGACGATTGGAAAGTGGCCCCCACGTGCGGTGTTTCTCTCTGGGTGGTCATGGCGAGGCCGGTGCGCGGTGGGAACCGCACCGTGGCGGTCTCTCCACAGAGAGTGGGGAATTCAAAAGCAAGTCCTGCGATTCGGCAGTCTCCTTATTTAAAGAAACTAAAGTAAACCGCCGCATTGCTGCTGATCTTGTTGTTGTGTTTGTTTGGCACTCGTCTCTAATTGGATCCGGGCGAGCTACAGGTCGCCGCGTGGCAGACACACCGAGCGATCCGCTTGCAGCGGGACAGAGCAGGCGGCCCAGCGTGGGTGGTGCCAGGCCAAAGTCCTGAGGTCTCCCTCCCCGGGCCACCGCATGGCGTGACGGGTTGCCACGCCGCCCCTGCCACCTGCAGGGGACTCCGAATTTGGATCAACTCGTCGTTCTGTGTCGACGTTGATAGCAGTGCCCCCATCGGCGTCGCAATACGACGGAACTCTCCGCAACTCGCGTAGCAGGGCAATTGCACCAGCCCGAGTCAAATAGACATCCCTCAGAAGGTGATGGCTGCCCCATTTTAGGTGGCACAGATTTTTATATTGCCTGCTGCAGGAAATGGCGACGTCATAACACACCGACATTTTTAGGCCTCGAAGCAGGAATAAGTTAAAAGAAGTGACAATCTCGGGCGGCTGAAGCCCGGCTCTGAGTCTGGGATTCTCGGTACTGCCGGCTCGCTTCTCTCTGGAAGCGGATTGGCCACCGTGAGCCTCGGGGCCTCTTGGCTCTGGCGTTTGACGCCCAAATCTTGAGAGCCAAGCCTGCACCTCTGTATCCTGGGTTCAAACCCCGCTTCACCCCCTGTGCCTTTCAGCGGGTCTCCTGCGTAGGTTTCGTCCAGGCTGCAATGATGCCCGCAATGGCATTTCATTGTTTTAAGTTATAGATTTTTTATTTTTTTAAGTTATGTTTTTTCTAGAACGGTGTCAATGTTCAATATTTGCGTTTTCAGGTCCGATACAGTCATGTGTTTTTCACATAATAATGTAAGCGGCATTATTAATATTTTTTTTATTGAAACGTAATGTGTGTTGTGTTTCCTGTGAAGGATGGAACGTTATTGTAATCGTGCAGGCATATGTACTGTGTATGTATATATGTAATAGAGTATTTTTCTACTTATTAAGGGTGGCATTGTTAGTTTCGTCTCCACTGTGCTTGGGATGAGATGTGCTCTGATTGGGGTCAAATCGCATCATTCTCCGCTGATTGGATCCCACCAGGTGTGGAACCGTTCCGTAGAAGAACTACGCTCTTAATCATTAACAATAAAAAAAGTGTCGTAAAGGAAAAATTGCCGTCATATACAGTCCACCGTAAATAGCAAATCGTGTCATGTAAGTAATTGTGCTGGATTCAAAGTGGTCATTCCCCAGGCCTGTGAAAACCACACCGGGACGGCCCAGTTTAGCATCCAGGCAAATGGGCTTATCGAGATCGTTTCCATGGTGGCCTTAGCGGGACACGTGACCTGTTAGCGGGGCACGTGGCTCCCTCTCGGCTGGCCACAGGAGGCGACACTCACCCAAGCCACCCTCGTGACTGACCTTGATGTCTGGATCTTGATGTCTGGATCTTGATGTCTAGATGTCTGGATCTTGATGTCTGGATGTCACGGGGTCAACGAAGAAAATCCGAGTGCCACTTTGGTGTCTCCCGATGTGGACAATTGCCCTCCCTCCTTCTCCCTTGAGATTCCCAAAAGAGGTATTTTATTGATATTCACTGGAACGTACGTTGAGTTTTAATATTAGTACAGGGCCCTATTTAACAAGCATGAACTCTCAGCTCCGCGTCCCCTGGGAAGTTTATAGATCCACCTCCGGCACCTTCTCTAGAGCGAGGGCCCCCGTGGGCCCCAGGGGACGGCAGTCGCAATCGGAGCACGCTGAAGGGTCGACGAGCTCGTTAGCCTCGCGACCTTCACCTCCCAGCCTGCGTGTGCTGCATCGCAACGAGTATTTGCAAGTTGCGCCGTGTAACAAAGACGACCCCTGCATCATAGCCTGCACGGGCCGTGTGGGCCGAGTGGAGTTCGCGAGCACCTTATGCACGCGGAGCAAAGACGCGCGCACGTGCGGTGGGGGCGAATTGCAAACCGGGGCACATGTCTCTGTGGTGTGCATGGCGGGGGGGAGGGGGAGACGGTGGCAGTCTTCACTGCCACCCGAGTGGAAGTTGCCAAGGGGTGCGTATCGGCCGCTTCTACCACGAGCATCTCGCCAACATCGGAGCATCTCAACCCCGTGCAGAGCGCGCGATGGTGCCGGTGGCACACGCACGCACGCCCCAGGGGACGAGTATCGTGGACCAGACCAACATGCAGACGCTTAGTGTGCACGCACGCGCACAGGATGATGCTTGTAAAATGTTTTACAATTGTAGAAAAATAAAAAATAAAATAAAATCCCTTTTTTTGAACTCCACAACACACACCAAACCAAAAAACAAATACCCTCGATGATAACCTTCTATTGAGGCGAATACTGTTAGCGAGCACCTATGAAGGCCGCCACGGCGCATGAGTGGGTGGTGTGGCCAGTGCCATGGCTGGCCACGTCTTTACACATCACATGGTCAAGTATTCCTTTTAAGGCTGAGTTGTCCTAGAGGAGGCTCGGCCAGGAATCCATTCAGATATCGCCACTCTGAGCAGTGGCATGCGAATCGACCTCGGGTCGCCGAGTCCACGGTGAAGTGTGCTCACCACTGCACAACCGCTCCCCACACACTCGCACACAGGACCCTGTCTCACCCTGATTTCATTGCAGATATTAACCAGAAGCCCCGAGGTGGCTTTTTTTATTCATAGCGGCCAGCAGGGTTGGGAGTTGATGGTTGTTTTGATGATGTACAGTTTCTGTCAATGCCAAACTTGTTCAAGGTATAATTTGTATTATCGTGTGGGGAAAAAAATCTACATACCTAACCTGTTTTTTGTGTGAAAATTTATTACATTTTAAGTAAAAAAATGTCTACAGAAAGGGAATTACCTCCATTGCCTTTAGTCTTACTGCGATATACGTTAATTAAAAAAAGGAAATTTTACGTACTTTGTTTCGCGTGGGAAAAAATCGACAACTAACAACAACCTTTGTCGTTTTTTGCGAATATCGGACAAATTTCCAAAGTGTTATTTTTCAACGAAAAGGGAAATCTCTCCCGTTGCCTTGAGGCTTAGTACGCTATGTATGAAATACAAACTGAGACATTTCACACGAAAAAATTCACGTGGAAAAAAAATGTACATGCTTAACCGTACGTTGTTTTTTGTTCGCGAAAATTGGCCAAATGTCAGTGTTACTTTGCCTCCATTGAGGCAACCTTGAGGTCGCTCAAGGCCAGAAAACTGCATGGACTTCCAAACCGCACCTCGGGTGAAGCATCTCCCGGTGCGGCAGTTGAGACATTGGCACATTTCGTGAATTTCCTCTGCACCGCCGCCTCCATCAACCTCAGCAGTACGAATGTGAGGCTAAATGTGGGGGTATTCGTACTTATTCCAAGACCCCTGCCTTGCTCCTCCTGGTTTAGACCCCTTCCGCCAGCAGTTGCGAGAGCGGGTTGACGCTTCTTCACCTCTGTGTACAACAAACACGCACATCGTTCACACACTTGTGTACGACGATGTTCTGTGCATACAAACCACAAACATCCCCCTCGTATCGCCTTGAACAGACTGTTGGGGCCAGTTTGGAAAGTGCTGTTAGCGAGTTGCACCTCATGACAATGACAGACCGTGGTCTCGCGAGCCGCATGCAGCTCTCGAAGGGGACAAACTGCCACAGTAAGTGGCAAAGAATAATTAATGAAAGTTGTCTGATATAATATTAAATATACCTATGCAGGCCGATATGGCACGAGGGGTGGGTGGCCAATACCACGCCCGACCGCCTTTGTCTCCCTACTGGCGAAGTTTTACACAGCGCACCAGGTACTCATTTGAGGCTAAGTCGACCTAGCGGAGGCCCACGACCGGTTAGGATAATCTTCACTGCTGTTGCCCGTGAGCGCAGCGCGCTAACCACTACACTACCGCTCCCCTGCAATACACGCAGTCATTGACACAGATATACACATACTCACACGGACATAAACCAGACGTGCATAGTATGCACGCTATGCAGCATCATACCAGACACGGCTGCACACACACATACCATATTATATAAACACATAAAAAATGTGCGTATACGCGTACGGAGGCACCCCCATGCACACTGCTGTAGGTACAGGCACGGTGCGGGTGTGTGTGTATGCACAATGTGTATACTGTGCAGTCTCTTCTCACACGTGTCGCTATTCCCACGTGGTGCCAAGGCAGCGGGGCCGCTGCTGCCCGCCTGTTGCTGCCTGCACGGCCACCGACGGCTGCTTCCTGCAGATTGAAGCGCCCGGGGGCAATGTCGATGCCAGGAGGTCTCCGGTACCTCGGGAAGCTTGGCCCTTCCTGCTGCCACTGACGCACCCCATTCATCAACGCAGCCAGCAGCCACCCGACTCGTCTACCCACGAAGACATCCAACCACCCAGCCGCCCCGATACCCCGCTGCATGGCGCCCAGGCGCCCTGCTCAGCCCGACTGCCACTTCGCCATCAATGCCACCCCAGCCGCCCTGCTCTTTATCCACCCACACACACTGTCACCCATTCAGCCATCCTCCTGCCCCTCACCCTGATACTCAGTCACTCACCCAACCAATCACCCAGCCATCCCATCCATGTGGCTGTATGACAGAGTTATTGTGTAGAGAGGGAAACTAGAAGGATTGAAAATGATTAGTGTGCAATTGCCATGATTCCCTGCAGCCTAAACGCCTCCTGTCTGACTCACGTGCCGCGCGTGCATTATTTATCGCCGGTTTTGCCAAGGAAAAGCCACGTTAATGGACCCCCCCCCCCCTCTCTCTATTCATCAGCATTCCACGCAGGTGAAGCGTTGGTCTCCAGACAGCTCCATAAATAATGCATTCCGCTGCGCTGCTCCATTGCCAGGGCTACTGGAGCACAGTGGCGCTGCTGCTGCTGCTGCTGCCTGATGTTGCCTGCCTGGCTGCAGGCAGCAGTTAGGCAGGGAGCAGGCAGGCAGCAGTAGCTACCAGGCCGATAAACAGCATCAGCGGGAGTAGCGATGGAGTCCACGAGTAGCGACCCAGGCCGAGACAAAGGCGCTTGGAGCTCAGCGCTTTGTTCTATTGCCTCGTAATTGCACCTCGAATTTCGCTAACCCGGGAACCGCTCCAACACGCGACCACTCAACCAGCGCTGACCAGGTCAGTCCTCTTCAGCGATTAACCTGTCAATGATTCTCAAGAATCACGGCGCCAGCTCGTACAGCGCTCCCCAACGGTATCGCCAATAACCTCTTAATGCAGAGCGAGCTCGTACAGCGCTCTGCAATGGCAGGTATCTTCAGGCAATAGGTATATCTTGTACGGCACTCTTCAACGGCACGTATCTTCATGACACATGAGCACAGGCGTGGACACAGTGCTTGAGTGCGCCCCTGTGTATCCGGTTCGCTGTGACCCTCTTGGTCGGCTCAATAGGCAACAACAACGACGACGACGACGAGAAACAATAATGACGCTCCGAGAGACTCCGCGTTGTGTTCTGTCCTCCGGAGAAGTGGGGCGACTCCACAACAGCTGAGCACCAGGGGGGGGGGGGGGGGGGCGACGCTTCGTTTCAGGGTCTTCTTCGGAGGACAGTGGCGTATCTGCGACAGCGAGCGGAGGGCGACCGAGTCAACACCAAGTCGGCGTGCCTTCGCTGTCCAATCGCTAATTACCATTTGCATTCACTTATTATAAAGTCACGCGCCTCGAGTGACTTTATAATAATTATAATTATAGGTGCGATTAATTACGGGTGAGCTCACGCCGGCTACACCGGCGACGTTGGGGTCCCACTCGCCCTGCCCCCCCCCCCCCTGGTCCTGCTCCCCCACACCACCCACCCCCTGGGTGAGCTCAGCAGGGGTGTCTCCCTTCGGGGTCACCATTGGCGTTCCGAATGTCAGCGGCACAAGTATCTGTAAGCACGGCGGCGGCAGCACGACTGTTTTTGCCAGTACCACCTGGAACCTGACTCGTCCCTGCCGTGTCATCGCTTCGCTGGTCAAACGGGAGGATTCCCCTTGGCGCCTCTCGCCACTCGTTAGCCATATACATTGTTACTGGCAGCAGGCCCAACACATGTGCCAGTGATGCACATTTAGTGTGGATGACACGGGCTGGCGCGGTGGTCATCGTTACGGGGGGGGGGGGGTAGGCGCCGTCATTCAGCAGTGGTGTGACGACGTGCAGATCAGTTGGAGACACATCCTAAGCAGAGCCGGGTGGTGGTGGTGGTGGCAGCGGCGGCAGCGGTGGCGGTGGCGGCGGCGGTGGCGGCGGTGGCGGCGGCGGCGGCGGTGGTGGCGGCGGTGGCGGCGGCGGTGGCGGCGGTGGTGGCGGCGGCGGCGGTGGTGGCGGCGGTGGTGGTGGTGGCGGTGGTGGCGGCGGTGGTGGTGGCGGTGGTGGTGGCGGTGGTGGTGGCGGTGGTGGCGGCGGTGGTGGTGGTGGCGGCGGTGCACGTGGCCTGTAATCCGGCACGCATGGAGGCAGCAGTGGGGGTTGGTGGATAATGCGCAGAAGAGAAACTCGCTTCTCCTGCGGGTGGCGAGGTGCCATACCCTGGCTCGCAAGGAGAATGCAATTCAGCAAACTGTGACCCCACCTGTTCCATCTGAATGGAAAAGTGTTGCCCTCTTGCACACGTGGGTTTCCTTCCACATGGAAACACTCATTGACATCTCACACCTTGATGGAGCAGCGGTGGCCAATTGGCGTCTTCTCAGCCGCATGCAGCTCTACCGAAGGGGCACAACGTAGAACACACCATCACAGTAGGAGCACAGAATAATTAATGTTTCCCGTGCTGTGCCGAAAACTGTCAACAAATATACACTTGAGTCTTTGCAGAACACATGGGTCAATTTTGGCTCTTGGTCTGCAGGTTGGCCACCCCTGAAATAGAGGACTGCAGAACTTGGGAAATTGTCAGTCCTGTTCTCTGTGGCTCCTCACACTTGTGAGTTGTTTCATCTTCGAGCGAGCGAATGCTGTGCGCATTGCAATTGTACTGAGCGCATTCACCGTCCTGTAAGCATGCGGAATCACATCATCTCCAAAAGACCACAGAAAGACGCTTGTCACTACACACGCACACAGACTCACAAACAGCACAGGCTGCTATGCAATTTATTTATTACCAATAACAGATCTATTCACAGTCCTGTATTTAACCAGGTGACAGCCTGTTTGAGATTCCTTTATTGCAAGAAAGACCTGGGAAGTCCAAGAAGTGTACAATAGATATTTTTATTATTATTTGTAGACAATTTCTATTTTGGAACTGATCTGTGTAGTCTGAGTAAATATCTTGCAAATGACATCCGAGCGCCTTTCATTGCCAGCGATGACGGTGCAGAATAACAAAGTGACTCGGGGGGGGGGGGGGGGGGGACAGAATTAACATCCTCGAGCCAAACCCTGCACCCGACTGGGCTGCGTGGGTGATGAGCGTGCTGCGTGAATAATTGGGAACTCTTTGTTGTAAAACATCGGTCCACACCTAGAATTGATAATTAATAAACAAAATGGGCGCGCAAACACTGCCGCCCTTATTTTACCTTACAGCAAACACCACTCGGTTGGATTAAAAAAAACGAAACTGTTACACCACAGTTTACGAGACTGGAGACGCACACATACACACACACACAACAACAACAACAAACATGCTGCATGCCGCATTTGCATCCTACTTGCTGCGCATTATTACCCAAAGGACTAACGGGGAAAACTTATGTCAATAGATTCGTGAATATTCGGAGGCATGCCTTCTGTGTATTTGATGCCAGATGAGTGTTTGCCTGCTGCAAACTAGCAAATGCATTGATTTACACAACACACTGCCCAAGCAAACCAGACTGCGGACTGCTACCAGTCGGACTAAACCAGTTGGAACAGTTACCTTGTTGTTAAAAGTAAATAGATAAACATTCCTGTTAAGAGTTGTTTACGTTGTCCGCTTAAGAATGCGAAGAATTTGGTCGCAAGCCCAAAGTACATCCAATGATGCGTCTTGGTAACCTGTGGGTTTCACACCTGATGATGATTGCTTGTGTTGCAATCGAATCGTCGCGAGAATTGTATAGTTGTATTTTTATTATTTCACTATTTCCCTTCCACGTGACCAAGAACATGAACAGTGGCGGCTTAGATTCAAGCAGCAGTTCGAAGAACAGAAACCATTTCTGGAGGCAAATGCAGACGATGAGCATCCTGATGCCCTCAACGTGACGAGCTGCGTTGAGTCGACGGCGCCGACGCAGGGAGGACTGGTAGCACGGGAACGTGACCTGGGCACGAAGCGAGCGCGGGGACGACAACCTCACGAGTCCGACTTGCACTCGGCTCTACGGCCGACGGCAAAACCCCGCGTTAATGAACAATGTGAGCACGACAACGACAACAACAACAACGCGCGCAGCCCTAATATATTACTCTGGCAGTGAGTGTCGCAGCGCCGCTGTGGCGAGCGTGGCGTACTTACAGTCGCCATGAATTACTGCACAGCCTCGTCGCCACCGCTGATACTCTACCACTACGATACCACGACTCGCGCCCACTACGACAGCACCGTTCGCTACCCGACAGCGTAGCGCATGCTTTATGCACAACGAATTGCCACATCAATTGCGAGCCGACTATCACGGCACCCGCATAAACTATGGAGTCAGTGCATGGTTTTAAAGGGCCACAGGAATGTATATTAAAATGCGCTTCCGTTTTAATTAATAAAAACAACACGCGACCAATACGATTTTTCATTCAAGCAATAAAGTGCACGCCACAATGTTAATAACGTGAGTCACGAGAGGCCGCGCACGCACCATGCGCTCCTCAGCCAGTGCCGCCAGCGCGCACCCAACGCCACGAAAGCACAGAACATCGCACAGGGCACCATTCACTCGACTACCAATCCCTGAAGTGTCGCGAACACCAATCACCACCAGTGCCGCGACGGGCTCAGACAGGAAAACATTACAGTCGTTTTAAAGCAACTTGTAAATACAGTAGCTAGTTACCGGGTGATCGAAATAAAACATTTAGAAACGCCACACAAATAAACAGTTAACTGCAATTCTGGGGGAGGAAAATATAAATTGGTAAAACGTATCTGGGATTAACCGATTAAAAAATTGGCTTAATGGGCTGATGTTAATGCCCACGTCAGGGCACTGGGCGAGCATCGGCCTTTTAAGATACATGGCTAATTTTAAGATCCTGGCTTCCAATCCAAACAAATTGTTATAGTTTATCACTGGCTAATGGGATGTGTGGTGGAACACACAAGTGACCTGGTCGGGTGGCTCGCAAAGTCAGAGCAACGAGCCAGCACTGCCGAGGTCCTCGGTTCAAATCCAGGTTTTAGCTGCTCGTGATTAAACTGGGTTCAAGTGTCGCGAGGTGATGGTCTCAGCCTGGTCACCAACGTCACAAAAAAATAAAACCTATCACGTAAAATTTGGTTGTCGACTGAATTTGGCAACATTTTAAGAGAATAAATATATATTGGTTTTATCGCCACGTGACAAAAATCCCTCTTTAGAAGGACGCGTGGAAAAGGGCACTCACACTGGCGTGAATAAAAGTCACTTCGAAGTTATCTCAGTAGTTCTGTGGGATATGCTTCAGCACACTATTATCTAACATGAGGAGCTGCGCTGAATGGCCAGTGTCCCATGACTCCAAACATCACGATGTAAAGCAATTTGCCAGGTAGAAACTTTAACGTGGAGCTATTGTTTATTTATGTTACTTATTTGAAGTAATCGATTACAGAATTTTCCGACTGAGTATTTTTGCGGTGTAATGTTTTCAAATTCGGCAAAAATTGGAGCACGATGCTGGAACACAGCGGCCTGTGCTTGTGAATGATGCCATGGGACCTTGAACGTCCACTGTGAAGTAGGATGGCGGCGGACACTGTGCGTGTGGTCACTCCCAGGGCCGGCCACCGGAGTGACAAACCGTGAACCCCTGCGAACAAGCGGCGAACCGCTGCGTCGTGCCACCGTCCCAGATGAGGAAAGACACCGGACGTCCAAAAGGAGTCCAGACTTTTGTTTGCATTGAATCAACGCTGCCGAAACGACGCACTCCGGCCTTTGCGGCCCACGGAACGCGCAAAGGAGACGTGCCGTCCGCCTGTTTTTTAGCACGGGGCCTACGCCCCTTCGAATAACTCGGGAGCGGGACTCTCGGGGCACGGGGGGGGGGGGGCCACAGTTACGGAACTTTAGTGTAAATAATATAGACGATAGCGCCGCAGTACACATGCCAGCTGTGTGCAGCAACAGCCGGTGTAGGTGCCCGCGAGCGAGCGAGCCAGTGTCAAACCACCTCCGCTACACGCTGTAAACGCATTACCACCGTTGACATTAACACCCCCCCCCCCCCCGATCACCAAAAATCCAAATTAACTTGCGCTTTAGACGATGCCCACAGCAGACAAAAAAGCCCTCCCCCCGCCCCCCCGTTTGTATTATTACACCAGGTGACCCATTTATGGAGAACTCGCCTATGTCTAATGAGCACCTTTGCCCACCTTGTCAACGGGTTGAGTGAGCATCGTGGAAGCTACGGCTTCCCTGCCTACAAGGAGGGAGTTAAAATGTTTCAAAATGGTGGTTAGACATCGAGATTTTTTAAATTTAAATCATCTTCTAATTGTGGGTGCCACGGTGGCGAGATGTTAACTACCTCGCCTGGTCTACAGGAGGTCGTGGGTTCGATCCCGACCCTGACACCTGCTGTATATTTGGAGTCTGCATGTTCTCAGGTCCTCCGTTTTTTCCCTCCGCATTTAGAATCACAAACACGCGTTTCGAGTACAGCATTTGGCTGCTATAAATGTCCACGTGATAAGCCACTTCGTTGACCTATCATTTGTGGCCAGGTAGCTTCTGAAAAATATCTATATAGCTCAGTGGGCTTTACTTGCTAAAATAAAAAGTTAACTTTTAAATCGTTTTAATTACTACCAATGATTACAGTGGGCTCTCGAAAGGGATTGTGCTGCATATTATTTCAGTGGGCTATTATCTTTATAATAGATATTATTTTCATGATAGCTAAGAAGAAGTGTTCACGACGACGGTGGTAAAGGATTTCCAGTCTGTGCTTATAAACCAATGCCAATGCAGTCCCCTGACCTCTTACTTTGAATTGAACACCTGTACAATATTTATACAGACATACAGACTATATATACATACACACACATATACACTCTCTTGTTTACGCGGCATGCCAATAGTGACATGAGGGTAGCTTTAAATGATTTCCTGAGGTGACAAATGTCACCGACATTGTAAAGTTCCCGATGCTAAATTGAAACACCGAGAACATTTGTCGATCACGTGAGATTGTGACATGTGCGCGATTGGGCGAAAGAGAGAGGCATGCTGGGAAGTATTGCGCCCATGGGCAGTAGTCCAGCAGGTAGCTTTCAGCCGCATCTCTTACGTCCTCACGCACCTCAGATTAGCACGGTTGGCTACGTATGGTAAGAAAGAAGTTCACCCATACATACATACATGCATATGCGTGCAGAGCTTATACGCAGTTTCCTGTAGGCCCTCCAGTTTCTGAGTGCAGAGAGACTCTGAAAAAATCGGTCCAACGTCACAATCGGCCATCTCCTGGACCATGTGTCAGGACACGGCACGACTGTCCCGGGTGATTGAGAACGCACATCTCCGTCTGTAACCCCAAGACGATGATTTTACAATTGCGTGAACACACGCGGATACCAGTTTCTTTCATAACCATGTCCTTGTGCGCAGAGGAGATGATGCCTGGAGTTAACTTGAGGTCGACTGCCAGCAGCGTGTCCGAGTGTGGAGTTATGCCCTGGATACACGACTAATGCCCATCAGTGCAGGAAGTATACACAGTCACGTCACCCGCGTCACCACAGCGAGGAAACAGTGAGGGTTTTATTTACAAAATGAGGTGAATGAAATAAAATAATTAGAGTAACAGTTAGGGCACCGTAGTGGCGAGATGTTAACTACCTTGTCTGGTACGCAGGAGGTCGTGGGTTCGATCCCAAACCTGACACCTGCTGTATATTTGGAGTTTGCATGTCTCTCTTGCCGTGGTCGCGTGGATTTTTCTCCGGATCCTCCGGTTTTTCCCTCCACATTTAGAATCAACATGCTTTTAGAGTATTTGGCTGCTATGAATTTATACATGATAAGCCACTTCGTTGAGCTACCATTTGTGTGGCGAGGTCTATTCTGAAAAAGAGCTACATAGCTCAGTGGGCCTTACCTGGTAAAATACAAAAATGTTTAGTTAATAGTTTAAATAATCCAGTTGTCTTTTGTTGTATCCGCATCTGTACAACGACTCAAGTAGGACTGTAATCGACAGCACGTCTATAGGGGCTGCTCAAGAGCTGGGTGATTCCCGTGACGATTTCTGCACGAATTACAATTCCTCTGTGGGCGATTCCCATGTTAAAAATCGACATTCATGTGAATGGGAACCGACCTGGAATTTGTGCAATATAATTGGATTCCACCGAGATCCTGTTGTGAATTGAGCTGAGCAAAAAACATCGATGATTCCAGACGGCCAGAAAATAAATTATTGTCAATTGTAGGCAGGGTTAGAATCGCCATTGTACGTATGTACGTCGCGACCTACTTTCGCGACGTACGTAGCCAACCGTGCTAATCAGAGGTGCGGGGGAAGGACAACAAACTAAACACAAAAAGCAGTTCTAAAGAAATTAGTATTGCCATTGCAATTAATTACAATGGCAATACAGTTAGCCCCGCACCTCTGATTAGCAGGGTTGGCTACGTAACGGTGCGAAAAAGAAGTTCAACATACGTACCTACATAACACGACCGTGCCAGATCGCTTCGCTCTCACCCCAATTCTGGCGCTGACAAAAGAAAAAACAGAAGGTCCTTGAGGGCTGCATGGGCGAGTGAAGGCCGGAGCTCGCACAGCCCGACCAGAATCGCCGTTGAAATGAATCACGCAGACATCGGCCGCGTGTTTCAAAGGCGATTCCACCCCCAGGCAAGCCACCCTCCCTCTCTTTACCACGCACACCAGGCTTTGCCCAGCTCGGCACCCACACAATCCCATTATCACGCTGAGCCCACGATGCTGTTGGGAACTGTATCCGATTTCTGAGAGAAGAATAATGACTTCAGGCTCGGAATTGAGAGCTCCAGCTTGCATTACAAAGACAAAGAACCCCCGTTAGCCTTCACAGACTGTTAGAGCAAGTACTGTTAGTGAGCACTTATGAAGGCTGGCACGGCGCACGAGGGGGTGGGTGGCCAGCACCACGCCCAGCGGATTTTGTCTCCCAAGTGGCGATGTTTACACACCGCACCAGGTACTCATTTGAGGCTGAGTCGACTTAGGGGAGGCCCAGGATCGCTACAGATTATCGTCACTGGTGTTGGCCGTGAATGAGGATGGAACGCGGGTCGCCGGGTTCGTAGCACGGCACGCTAACCGCTACACCACCGCTCCCCACTACACACTCGTGACATCACATACATTAAGCGTAGGGGGCAATTTTGATTCCGTGCCGTTGACCAACGTGCCAGCATCGTGTTACAATCGGCAGCCCCCCCCACCCCAGCTGAAACGTGCAAAAAGAAAAAAGTAAAAAATAGTTCACCCGCGAAACGTACAAAACATTGCGCGGTCACCGAATCGCCTGCAGCAAATCAGGGAGCAGCAAGCGCTGACCTTTGAAGCGTTGACAACCAATCACAATCACGCAGGCAGAGAGGGCAGCACCTGCACTCTCTTCACATTACAGTAGTTAAAACCTGTTAGCCGAAAAAAAAGAAAAATTCATATATTTTATTAAATATAAGTAAAGCTTTCGCATATTTCTATTCATTGTCCTACTCCCCCCCCCCCCCCATGCAGTTCAGTAGTTGGAAAGGCCACCCCAAACCCCAAGCCAGCAGGTGAGGACACTTCCTTCTGTTGCCACTGTCACCAAAAAAGACAAAAACGTTTCTCTCCGTCGGCAGCTCCCCGGATTCCCGCGCGGCACGCTCCACACGGGAGGGCGGGGGGGGGGCCGGGGGGAGGGGTGAGGAGGGGTGAGGTCGAGCCGCGTGGGCTAGGAGGAGAACGCGGGTCGACGCGAGAAGTTGGGGTGCCGAGACCGCGTCGGACGTTCGGTTTCGCAGATGTAAGCCGCGGCGCGACGTCACACCGGCTGCAGCGGCGCCTCCTCGCCTCTCGTCTCCGACACCATTAGTTACTAAACGTATTATACACTGGGAGAGTGAACTGGACACAATGTCTCGTGTGAGTGGATATCTAGCGCCGGCATAAGGAGTTTTTAAATTCTGAATAGTTGTTAAAAAAAATAGATTTTGAGCTGGTGGCCATGACACCAGTACACAATATCCACACCTCTTGAGAGTGATGTCAAGGGCATCTTAAAAGCCAATCTGGCAACAGAAGTCACGTATTGGTAATTCCGTGCATAAATTACTGGGCGGTTAACGAGGATCCGACTGGTGAGTGGCTGCCCACACTCAGCTAAATGCGAAACAGATTCGGGAAGTTTTTGTTCGCAAGACAAAAATATTCTGTTGTAAAGTTGACGTTAAACACCCTGTGAGATCGTTCACAAATAAACGCAGGTCCGTCTGCTTGAGTCACAACCCAAGACGCTTACCTTGAAACTTACAAAGGCAAAAAAAAATCGGCCATCGGTAAGTACGGCTATCCACGTCCTCTTTATAAAATAACAAATTCAAGATGGGAACTATCGTGTTTAAATTACGTAAACTTGAATATTCTTGAACGAGTCACGTGAACCGCCATTGCTCAGCCATCAGATCGACACCAATGGGTTCCAAAGGTGAATTTTCCGGCCGCTCGAAAAGTCGTTCAAGGGAGGCCGTCCCTCTCGGACTCCGCATCGCCCACTCCTCCTCCTCCGTCGCTCACACTCACTCCCCCGTCGCAGCTCGCGCACGTCGACGTGGGCGCAAGCGCCCCCGAAGCCGTCGAAGCCGCAGAAGCCTCCGCCGGCGCCGCGCCGCCCTCCAGGCCCGGCGTGGGCGGCACGGCGACCCACTCGCCGAGGCGGCTGGACTGGCGCACGGCCTCCACCACGCTGGCCATGTAGAGGCCGTCCTCGAAGGTGGCGGCCGAGTGCAGGGGGCCGCGCTCCCACGCCCGCCGCTCGGCGCGCACCTCGAACGAGGCGCGCAGCGCCCGCACCGTCTGTACCAGGCCCTGCACCGCACACACGGCACGATAAGGTACAGGCACGATACGGTACAGGGCAATACGGCACAATACGACACGGCGCAATACGGCGTGATACGCTGCAATACAACACAATACGGCACAATACGGTGTAGGCGTACCCCTCTTATAGTGCTCAGGATACATTGTTGGTAACCGGAGCACTGTGCGAGACAGCGCTCTAGGAGGCCACTATAACGTGGTTCCAATGGAGATGCGTTACCAAGAGCACTATTTTTTTTACCTATGAGCAATATCTATATGGGATGTCGGTGATAGCCTTCATAATGATACTATACACGTGATAAATGTATTAAAGCATTTAAAAAAAAAATTGCTTTTAATGACGACATCGGCCATAAACACACGATCTGCGGGAAGCTATACTCATGGGATTACTCGATCCATTGATCGCCAATTGATAAAAGCAGCGATTAACCCTCGATGAATCGATACTCTAACGTGGCAATCGGATCAACTGTGAGTAGAATCGATACAACAGACACCTCCATTCAGGTTCCACAAGACCACGATGGGCAGAGACCCGCCCCTACAGGCAATGCCACGTCTACTTCCTTCTGTATATGGGGGCTGATCCGCGCAGGAATTTTCCTGCAGGACAAAGAGCGTCATAACGAAACAGCGCTATAAGAGGCAGCACGAAAAGAGGTAGGCCTGTACAGGTACTCTTCTACTTACGAACATTCGACTTCTGAACTTTCACAGATACGGACAAACCTGGTCAGCACGTCAAGTTGCCCGTTCAACCGCCGCGCAATAGACGGCTGTGGTGGCATCTACATCTGCAGAACGTGAAGAACCGGTGGCATCTACTGCTGCAGAACGTGAAGAACCAGTGACATCTACGTCTGCAGAACGTGAAGAACCAGTGGTATCTACATCTGCAGAACGTGAAGAACCAGTGGCATCTACAGCTACAGAACGTGAAGAACCAGTGGCATCTACGTCTGCAGAATGTGAAGAACCAGTGGCATCTACGTCTGCAGAACGTGAAGAACCAGTGGCATCTACAGCTACAGAACGTGAAGAACCAGTGGCATCTACATCTACAGAACGTGAAGAACCAGTGGCATCTACGTCTGCAGAATGTGAAGAACCAGTGGCATCTACGTCTGCAGAACGTAAATAACCAGTGGCATCGACATCTATAAAATGTGAAGAACCTGTGGCATCTACATCTACAGAATATGAAGAACAAGTGGCTACGTCTGCAGAACGTGAAGACCCAGTGGCATCTACGTCTGCAGAACGTGAAGAACCAGTGGCATCTACGTCTACAGAACATGAAGAACCGGTGGCATCTACATCTACACGAGATTGTACAACTTTTAAAGCCATTCCCCGTGTTTATTGTACATGCCGTAGAACATGTTTGGAATTGACAGAAGTAAAGTTGGACAAACGAACAAATCGACTTATGAAGACTATTCTTTGGTTCTTTCGGTTACGTCACGTCTAAAGATAAAATAATAAATTAAATAATAGCGAATATTACGTTTCGATTGCAACACAAGCAATCATCATCAGGCATAAAAGAAATAGCAACAAAAATCTAACTAGAAAACTATAGACAGACATACAAGCAGACAGACATCACAAGGACACACAGAGAGAGAACACATATCGGCACAAAGAGAGAGGTCGTTTCTGTGACGGGGCCTTAAATATAGAGAGGGGGGCGGGGGCGGAGAGAGGTAGGGGGCAGATAAAAAATTAGCATATCAATGAGTGGACGACAACGTGATGCTGCAAGTAAGATGACGACGCGGCACGGCACGCAAGCTTGAAAATCAGGAGAAAGACACACTAAAATTAAATAACCTAGTAAAATATCGAAATGTAATGTAATGCAACACAGAGAGTCGGTCAACACACAATTAACGCATAGCCCGGTTGATTACGTATTTCAAAGATTTCTAAGTTAGAATTTAAGTGTGAAAATTCCAAAGAAAGAACACAGGCAGAGAGAACAAATAGCCAGAGAGAGAGAAAAAAGATAAGCTTATTTAAGGCCCCGTCACAGAAACGACCTCTCTCTTTGTGCCGATATGTGTTCTCTCTCTGTGTGTCCTTGTGATGTCTGTCTGCTTGTATGTCTGTCTATAGTTTTCTAGTTAGATTTTTGTTGCTATTTCTTTAATGCCTGATGATGATTGCTTGTGTTGCAATCGAAACGTCGTAATATGCTATTATTTAATTTATTATTTTATCATTAGACGTGACTTAACCGAAAGAACCAAAGAATAATTCCTGCAGTCACGAAAGCTCCAAAATTAAGATTATGAACAGACCTCTGGAACCACCTCACTCGTCCGTAAGTCGAGGAGTGCCTGTACCAAATTATTACGATACAGCGACACACACCAGTGTTGGATTGAGCCGTCTCGTTAGGTGGGGTTAGGCACGGAGTGAATGTGGACTTCGACTGAACAAATTGCATTGAGGAGTTCTCATTATGTGCCCGACAGTCTTAAAACGCTATTATATTTAATTAACCCTCTAAGATACTGATACATTCACCGAAGCAAAAACTTGATAACATCTCCTTTAAGTGGGGCAACTTAACAAACCCAACAGCAAGAGCGGAGCTAACGCATTAGAGCCACGTTAATCAATACACCCCCCCCCCCCCCCCCGCAACATCTAACGGGAGTTGCGGTGTAAATCACACACCACATCCTTTCTTGTAAATACTGCTTCAAGATGCCTCGTGACACACAGATGCCTGGCCACAAGCTGTCAATTACGATGCACGCATCGCCTCACCGGTACAACATTAAACCACCAATACCAACAGCCACCATTCGCCACTAAGCAACGATGACGTCACCACGGTGCCTGTGCCAGGCCAGGTGCACTTTGAGGCCACTTGAAGTGTCGAAGGCTCGCTGACAGGAGGTCACGGGACAGGTCCTGCAGGTGCCATGAGTTGACCAACTGAGCTTACTGCCAGATACACCAGCTGTGCCCCCTACTGTGCTACACAAGACAAATAGACAAAGATCCCGTATTGCCTTAACATAATGTTAGGGCAAGTGCTGTTAGCGAGCACTCATGAAGGCCGTCACAGCACACGATGTGGATGGGTGGCCAGGACCACGCCTAACCAACCGCCTTTGTCTCCCTCGTGGTGATGTTTACACACTGCACCAGGTACTCGAGGCTGAGTCGACCTAGAGGAGGCCTAGGACTGGTTCAAATAATCGTCACTGATTTTGGCCATGAGCGGGAATCGAACTCGGGTCGCCAGGTTCGTAGCGCAGTGCTAACCGCTACACTACCGCTCCCACATACACAGACAGACACACACACACACAGATAAACTAACACACACACACAGATAAACTAACACACACACAGATAAACTAACACACACACACTGCTCGAGCAGCCACGGTCGTGTGACAACAAAGTCTTGCTACAAGCGAGGTGCGATGACGTTCGCCTGGCAGCCACCGCTTTGGAGGCGAGGGCCCAAGGATCACGCAAACCCCATGGAACTTCTAAACCCACTGGGTTCACGTTGGCCAGGAGATGGCAGTACTGCAAGTGAGTGCGTGAAACGCACTCGTGCGGTGGACCTTTAATGACCATTTGCATTGTCGTGGAGAGAATGAGGAATAAAATAAAATAAGAGGAACATACGCCTCTCGCCGTATCTCTGTCCCTCCGGGTGAGATATACAATTATTTTCATTTGTTTTTACACACAACCAATGGCTGGACTTGTCCCTTGCTTTTTATTCCACGCGTGTGCGGCGATAATGCAGCCATCGAGGGTCGAATTCAAACCGAGTGTGATCGGCCTCGCGCTCGCTGAAGATAATTGTCTTTAGGGAAGTCGTGAACTGTATACGCAACTGCGCACAATTCTGTGAGTCACTTATAACTGATTTGCCGTTACTTATTGCCAATTATGGACCTGGCACTTAATAATATGCTACACAGTGGCAGTGGGGGTCACAAAATGCCGCTGTATTACTAATAAACCCCAATGATCCGATAAAAATGAGGGATTTCGATCGGATCACTGGGGGGGCACGTGCCACCCCCCCCCCCCACCACTGGCTCCGCCAGTGCACATAGCCTGTCATCGGTGACACGGCCTTCTGGGAGTGAATTATTTCAGCAGCATTGGGGTTATTCCAATAAAAAAAACCCTGGATCCGGGTTCGCCTTTCAGCATCATCCCCTGGAATGCGCTGAGGTTTCTCCAGGCACTCGCAAAACAAGGCACACTCAAAGCGACTCTGCCCAAAACCATTCCGACGAAGGATCCTTGAAACTACGCGAGACTTCCACGAACAATCTACGCGAAGGAAACGGCGTTACGCAGGGCACTTTCGCAGTTGTAATGGTGGGAGATTGTAGAGATGCTGCCAGAACACTCGCTCACAATAGCCTGATCCTTGACATTGGTATATCACAGGGTCTTTGACATCCACCTAACCAAAGGTCTTTGGTGGTGGTTTCCAAGACGTCCGTTGAGCATGGTTGGCTTACATATGGTGTGAAAGAAGTTAAACATACATACGTACAGCAAAAGTACTGTGGAGAGTAGTGAGTTTAACATGTACACTTTCACGACCAATATCCATAATAGAGGTTTTTGGGTTAGATTGCGTAAATATAATTGTGTCGTTAAACCCGCCACCGTCCAACACAGCCAATAAGTAAGGTTTGTCACGTAAACAAAACATGCCAATTCGTTACAAGTACAGCACACCGGTGTGTTGGAGAGTAAACCCACAACATGGCAGTAGTGAGAGTTAAACTCCAAATGCAGTAGCTTAGCGGCAAGCACACCAACTCCTAGGCCTCTCAGCCACCCAAACAGACAGATGACCTTCAGCTATAGGCGGCTAAGACCCTATTTAGACCACAAGTCCCTTTTACAGTGGCAGAAGGGAGGAAGCTTCAACGTAGGAATGCAACGGATCCTGCTCCCTGACCAGGATCCACCACGTCCAGTCACGCACCGTACACAGCCCCCAGCCGCTTCGTACATGGGGAAGGTGGGTGGGAGAGGCAATGGGGCGCAGGGAGGGGGGGATGAGAAAGCTGCAGGCGCCGGGCGCTACTGCTGCTGTGCGCAAGACGCATTCTTGCGTGGAGGGGGTAGGTGTTGATGCGTGTGGCCAGTGGCGGCATACTGGTTGGCCACGGTTGCGAGATGTTAACCGTCTCGCCTGGTATGCAGGAGGTCGTGGATTCGATCCCAACCCGGGTGCCTGTGGTTGCGTGGATTTTTCTCCGGGTCCTCTGGTATTTGGCTGCGATACACTTGGTTGAGCTATCATTTACCTGGTAAAAAAAACCCAGTGGTTATAGCTAATAATACTGTGCTACGAAGATGGCTACCTGGGTTCAATTCACTGAACCGGTTCTGATCCTTGACCGAGGTCGATTGAGTCTTAAATTAATATCTGGCGTGGTGATAAAATATCAGCGCCGGGGAGACAAAGGCGAGCAGGCACGGTGCTGGTCAAACCACCCCCTCTCATTGGTGCTCGCTAACAGCACTTGCACCCATCAGTCTGTATAGGCTCTGTCAGGGATCTTTGTTTTGGTAGGCACTCGACAAAAACACTAAACGTGAGCCGTCGTCGTGTCAACATCGCTGGGAATGAGTCTGCATTTATCTCAGGGTGGCGTCGAGATGTCTGAAAATCCCGGGTGACCGAGCCCTGAGAAAACCCCACGTGCTAAAGGCTCCGCGCCGCCGACGAGTCCCCACGTGCTGGAGGCTACGTGGACTGACGAGTCCCCACGTGCTGGAGGCTACGTGGCACTGATGAGTCCCCACGTGCTGGAGACTACGTGGCACTGACGAGTCCCCACGTGCTGGAGGCTACGTGGCACTGACGAGTCCCCACGTGCTGGAGGCTACGTGGCACTGACGAGTCCCCACGTGCTGGAGGCTACGTGGCACTGACGAGTCCCCACGTGCTGGAGGCTACGTGGCACTGACGAGTCCCCACGTGCTGGAAGCTACGTGGCACTGACGAGTCCCCACGTGCTGGAGGCTACGTGGCACTGACGAGTCCCCACGTGCTGGAGGCTACGTGGCACTGACGAGTCCCCACGTGCTGGAGGCTACGTGGCACTGACGAGTCCCCACGTGCTGGAGGCTGTGGCACTGACGAGTCCCCACGTGCTGGAGGCTACGTGGCACTGACGAGTCCCCACGTGCTGGAAGCTACGTGGCACTGACGAGTCCCCACGTGCTGGAGGCTACGTGGCACTGACGAGTCCCCGCGTGCTGGAGGCTACGTGGTACTGACGAGTCCCCGCACACTGGAGGCTACGTGGCACTGACGAGTCCCCACGTGCTGGAGGCTACGTGGCACTGACGAGTCCCCGCACACTGGAGGCTACATGGCACTGACGAGTCCCCACGTGCTGGAGGCTACGTGGCACTGACAAGTCCCCACGTGCTGGAGGCTACGTGGCACTGACGAGTCCCCACGTGCTGGAGGCTACGTGGCACTGACGAGTCCCCACGTGCTGGAGGCTACGTGGCACTGACGAGTCCCCGCACACTGGAGGCTACGCACTGCTGAAGATTCCTGCACGTGCTGGAGGCTACGTGTTACCGATGACGAGACCCAGGACAGGGAATTCATGAGGCCCATTACGAGCCTAGTCGCCCCTGAATCAACGCACAATACTTTCCCCGCATTCTGGAGAAAAAAATTCGCAAAACAACCACTGCCAACGACACGCCACCGCGCACAACAGCCAAAACGCAAACACGGCTCCAGTGTGAGCTCACGCCGTCAGAGTGGCCGGGCAACTCGGCGTGGACGACAGCAAGCGCTGGTTCAACCGCAGGCAGGAGACCGGCAGTCACTCCGCAATGCAGGAACATAAATGTCTGCGGTTCATATCTTCATCGACTTTCGAAAGAGAGAGGGCGCAATGGTTATTATTGCTGTGTGTATCAACTACAATGCACTACGTGCCGTCTGCTTCGCGACGGAGGGGCATTCGAAACGACTCGGCCCATGGCGTTCCGGCGTCGCGGTCCAAATTAGCAAAACGATAAAACATTACCTGCAAATTACTCAATTGGGATCACACTGAACAACATCGCCTTTGAATGGTCACGTGAGCATCAAGCAAGCTCTGTCGTCGTCGTTAGTCGCGTACCTTGAGGTAGAGGGAGGGAATGTCTTGCAGCGCTCGCTCCGGCAGCTCCGAGGTGGGCACGGCCGTGCTATCCCGGAGTATGAGCTCCTCCTCCGAGCCCTCCGCGTTGAGCCGTAGGTACAGGTCGGCGCCGCGCGCCGTCAGTCGGCCCAGCGAGCCCACCACCGTCACCTCGTGCGCGAAGGTGCCGGGCAGGTTGAAGTTGAGCGTGACGGTGGCGCAGGCGCCGCCGCTCAGCAGCAGCTGGAAGGCGCAGAAGTCGTCGCTGGTGACGCGGCGCACGCCGCGGATGTCGTCCGTCTGGCGCACGAACGTGCGCAGCAGGCCGTGCGCGCGCTCGGCCCGCTGGCCCGTCAGAAAGGTCACCAGGTCGACGATGTAGCCGCCCGAGGCGTGCAGGCCGCCGCCGCCCATGAGCTCGTCGCACAGCCAGCTGTAGCGGCGGCCCAGCACGCTGCCCGAGTGCACGCGCGCCTCGCACACCATGACGCGGCCGACACGGCCCGCGGCGATGAGCTCTCGCATGCGCTGGAAGGCGGGCAGCATGCGCAGCGCGGTGCCCATGAGGCTCAGCAGCTGCGGGTAGTAGCGCGCCGCCAGAACCATCTCCAGCGCCGCCTCCGCCGTCACCGCCTTCTCGCACAGAACGTTCTTGCCGATTCCTGTAGGCGGAAGCGGGGAAGGGGGTTCGGGTTATTTAGTTGGGTGCAGTATATATATGTATTAACCGATTTGGACTGTAATTAAGATGTGTCCTCCGGTTAAACCACATTTGAGCATCGTGTGTCGAAGTTGTCCGATTAGCAGGTTGGCTACGTACGGTGCGAAAGAAGTTCAAGATACATAAAACTAAAATATAAACTAAACTATTTTTATTTTACTGGGTAAGGCCCACTGAGCTATATACTTCTTTTTCTGAAGGAGCCTGGCCACAAACTATAGCTCGACAAAGTGCCTTGTCATCACGTGGAAATTTATAGCAGCCAAATACTCTAAACGGATGTCAATCCTAAATGCGGAGGGAAAAAAATGGAAGACTCAGAGAAAACTTCACACGACCATGGGGGAGAGAGAGACACGCAAACTCCAAATATACAGAAGGCGTCAGGGTCGGGATCGAACCCTGGAGCTCCTGTATACCAGGCGAGGGAGTTAACATCTTGCACGGCCCAAGACGTCTCCTGCTGCATGGTGTGCACGTTTCCCTTGGCCGAGCAAACATCGTGACTGTGCAGGCTCGGCCCGACAGCTTTACCATGGACGCTGTAGGTACGTACGTTGAACTTCTTTCGCACCGTACATAGCCAACCGTGCTAATCGGAGGTGCGATTAGCATGGTTGCTACGCTGTTGCTGGAATGGAGTAACCAGCCCCCAACGGGGACAAGCAACTGTCGCTGTGTGAAGCTGAAAGCGTCTCTCTTTCAGAGATGTTTGATCGGTTTCCCAGAATGTCTGTTGCTCTTGGGGCGAGCTTTGTGGATTTGACACGGACTGCGAGGAGACTTTGCTCTCTGCCAGCGTGTCGTTCTGTTCCTGCCCGGAGACAAGCTTCCAAAGTTACACCCTGACATTATTATTCTTGTTATTTTCGGGGTGGAGAGATTAGCATAGTGCACTATGAAGCTGGAGGCCTGAGTTAAATTCCCGGCCATGGTTAACATCTTAAACTATTAAATTCTAAACTAAACTTTACATTTTTCCACGTAAGGCACACTGAGCTACGTAGCTCTTTTTCTGAAGCGACCTGGCCAAAACGAAATGGTTCATCACGTGGACATTTATCGCGGTCAAATACAGCACTCTAAATGCGTGACGTCAATTCTAAATACAGAGGGAAAAAACCAGAGGACCCGGGAAAAAAATCCACCCGACCACGGGGAGAATGCGCAAATTCCAAAAATACAGCAGGCGTCCGGGTTTGGGTCGAACCCATGACCTCCTGTATACCAGGGGAGGTAGTTAACATCTCATCACCATCTATGGGCACAGTGACATCTGAATGGGTCCTAGGTCCACCCTCTCTACCAACTGGCACTGACCCCACGTGGTGAAGTATGGTCAAACATACTGACACAGTCGTGTGGAGGCCTTCATCCATCAGTGCATTCATAAAAGAGACTATATTCATCGTAATGTTAATAACTGAGTATATACAGCTGCACAACAGACTATACATCAACACACGGTGAGGCAGCTGCACTGAGCTCCTATGTGTATTTAAAAGCATTACTCTCGTTCGAAACGTGGAAGACGGCTTGAATTGAGATCCACCTCCATCCTCATTAAGATATCCAACAAGCTGCCGAGCCAAGCCATTAAGCGAGGCTGTTTTCAATGCTACTTAAAACCACACCGGATTAGGTCATTTTATTTATGCTCAGCGTTTCGGTGACACATTTGTGACCGCATTTGGCACGAACAAATACCGACCGCTGTTGGGCCATGGGGCTTATCAGCCGATGCAACGGCCACCAAACACCTTGCCAGGCACAAATCTCCAATAACGGCTATCGATTTACAATCATGCGTTGCTCCAGATTTGTCTGGGCGTAAACATATTTAAAACACGTGGAGTTAATATGCCTGACGCTGCCCGTTTAACTTATCACTGCGAAAACACTCTGCTGCCTCTCTTATCTGGAAGGCAAGTAGTGCTGACATTTCCCCAGCGCTGACCACAGGGATTCCAAAACTGCACACGCTTCCTGAGCCGTGCACGGTGCTGATAAAGTGTGCCCTGTACAGCACTCAAACACACACACACACCCTCACAACACTTGCGCAAACACACGCTTGCACGCTACTATGCAGTGCGTATTTGTGTTGCGTAGCCCGAGATATTTCGATAACGGATTCGTTGCCATTCGGTACCAACTTCACGGAGCTAAAAATGGCACCGGCTCAGTCGGCTGAATGTCCCCTAGTAGCCGGTGAACTCAGGACTGAGTCACTTTGCTGGGAGTCCTTGACGAGTGGATCTTACTCCACTCGCAGGATGAACAGCGCTTACGGGTGTAACTTTGACAGGGAAACAAACAATCACAAATTCAAGTTATGCTCGGGAGCTAGATGCCAATGTCGAGGCCTGTGCGCTGTCAGAGAGGGCTTCAGGAGAGGGTTTGCGTAGTTTTGCTGTTCCTCCTCCATTGTCGGAGCACAGACTACGGTGGTTCACCAAGTGGACTTCAAGTTATAGGGCGTTTAAATGAAATTGAATCTCAATTGTGTCTACAGCAGCCTGGCGATCACTTGCTCTTCAATTAAAGGCCCGTGGGTCACTGGCGGCCCCCGACAATACACAGATAGTGAACCCCTCCCCCCCATCATCATCATCGTGCTGCTGTCAAACCCCAATGGTTTTAAATGTGTGGCTGCCCTTGCAATGATGATGAATTATCAGCAAAAGTGGCCCCCCTCTGAAAATGAGTGAAGAACACCGTATCAGATTCCAAAGAACACAGGATGAGATGTTATTATCCTTTGTGCAAGCACTTCCAAGAGTTCATGAACAGTGAGCCTGGTGAAATTTGGGGAGCGCATCGTCAGTAGTGAACCTTTGGGTCCTAGGGTGTTTCGGCCTTTCATACTATACACCCTCCCCAAAGGCGGCCAGCGACAGGGTGATCAATCCTACGCTTGCGTCCCATTCCCAATTAGTCATAGGAGTTGCCTTGTTGTTGGTAGCCAACATCCCATGGGACTATGCATGGCAGGGGCGTCCTCCTCCCTGAGTCAAGCATTGTTGACTGCATACCTCCTGGCCCTCTCACTTTGGGGCCCAGCTGGGGTCTTTCCTCTTCATCCAGAGCCACTGACTGCTGCCTTCTGCCGCCTCCGATACAGCTTTGATTGCCGAACGCTGGCTCTGGCCCTTAATTCCCAGGTCTCTAAGCAGTCTGGTTGTAGATGTTGCCACAAAACCTCTGCAGCCCACCTCCACTGGTCGGACTTCTGTGTTCCAGCCATGATGCCGTGCTTCGGCAGCTAGATCGGCATAGCGCAGATGTTTTCGCTCATAAGCCTCATCTACTGAGTCCTCCCAGGGTACTGTGAGCTCAATGATGAAGACCTTCTTGAGCGAACGGGACCAGAGCACCATGTCAGGTCTTAGGGTGGTGGTTGCGATCTCCGGAGGAAACACAAGTTGCCGGCCAATGTCAGCTAGCATTTTCCAGTCGCGGGCCAAGCGCAGCTGGTCTCGCTCTATTGGTGTAGAGCCGCTCTTCGGTGGTTTAGCCCCTTCGCGGACAAAGGTCGTCCGTAAGGGGTGTGATGCTGCTGGGGGTGGTAGGGAGTTGGTGGCAGCTCGCTTGTCCTCCAGGGCGGACGCAAGGTTTTTAAGGACTTGGTTGTGACGCCAAGTGTAGCGTCCTTGGGTGAGGCTTGTTTTACACCCTGTAAGAATGTGCCTGAGGTTGGCTGGCATGGAACAGAGAGTCTCCAATGACTCTGCTGAACTAGAATAGGAATGAAACATGACGACGCGGGTTCACAGTTCCACCTTGATCAGCGGGGATGAATCAGTGGCACACGTGCCGATTTTTGGGCTGTGCGGTCGCTCTTCCGACAAAACAAGAGTTGCATTCTGGGTATCCTGGACAGTGCGATGGCCTCGACATGCGAGTCCACGTCACCGTCGTCGTTATCATTGTCGTCGTTATTATCATCATCATCATCGTCGTTATCCTCATTGTCGTCGCCACACGAACCATATGCTCAACTCCCACCCCTTGTGGTTACATTTTACGGCAGTTTTACAATGCTGTTAAAACACAATGGCCCTGTTATTATGGCTGGGAAAAGGCAACTCTTGCTACCGCGAAAGCCAAACACGGGGGGGGGGGGGGGGGGGGTGTAAGCGGTGCAAAACCCGTCGGGCACTCCAACACACAGCGCACACACAGCGCACACACAGTGCACACACAGCGCACACACAGCGCACACACAGTGCACACACAGCGCACACACGGCAGTGGCTCAATGTACGTACGTTGAACTTCTTTTCGCACCGTACGTAGCCAACCATGATAATCGGGGCTACACAAGAGCTGGGGGTTTCCCGTGACGATTCCTGCACGAATCACAATTTCTCTGTGGGCGATTCCCACATTAAAAATCGACTTTCATGTGAATAGGAACCGAACCGGGATTTGTACAAGAAAATTGGATTCCACCGAGAACCTGTTGTGAATTGAGCTTAACAAAAAGCATTCATGATTCTAGATGGCCAGAAAAGCAATTCTGGCCGATCCCAGGCATTGTATTTATGTAGAACTTCTTTTGAGTCGTACGTAGCCAACCGTGCTAATCTGAGGATCGGGGAAAGGACAACAAACTAAACACAAAACGCAGTTTAATAGAGGGACCGAGTTGAAGAGCTAAAGCCTTTCGCTTCTCACGCAAGCGAATAAACGACAGCCTACTGAGATTTATTCTCGGTGATAGGAACACCAGCAGGGTTTTGGCCGCGCTTACAGCGATGCTGCAACAGAACACAGCCCTCTCCCCGCGAATGCACTGGCCGCCCTCAATGACAAGGACATTGTTTGTTCTCATCCGGGAGAGATTGAGTTTCTACACGGTGGTTGTGCCGTGGGGCGAGACCTCGAGGTCGCCGCGCGCGACCGGGATCGTGAGTTTTAACTCGGCACAGAAACATT